ATGACTTTGGCATTTGGTTGCTTTGAGACCAAATTTCCTTTCCCTCCAGTCCATCTCTCTCACTCTCAGGATGCCAACAATAAGGCACATTTTTATTATTTCCTTCGGGCACTTGAACAGCTGACTGGCAACGGCAGCGATATCAGCGTCGCTGTCGACGTCTACGTCGACGTCAGCTTTGTTGCGGACATTGCGTGGCAAAGCACGTTAATTAAATTAAGTAAAATTAGCTAAATATGTTTGCATTTCTCTCCCTCTCTCTCTATCTCTATCTTTATCTGCCTCTCTTGCTCTCTCTCAAAGCTTTAGCTGCGGCGTTGAGGGTAGCAAATTTAACTAAATAAGCGTTAATAGGACTATGTGGGTCGCTGCTAAAATCTTGGCAAGTAATTGGCTTAGCTTGGGTTACACTTAGATACCCTGTACATTGTCCACCAACTATATAACATGCTCCTAAGTATGCTATAAAATATGGCAACAAATCAAAGCTCGACTTCTGCAATACCCTGTACAATTTACGAAATTTTAGTTGCTCAATTTTTTATTCTGTTCAGCATAAGCTATGAAGTATAAGTACGCATAGAAATATTGACTCACAGATACCCTAGTTTTCACTTGTCAAGAGCTTGTCGTGCTTGATTGATTGTCAAGGGTTTGAGTATTTACATTCGACTGAAGAAATCTGTGCGTTCTTTACTTCTCATGCTTACTTTTGTTTACACGTCACCCACTACCTACCGCCCACCCGCACTCGCGCTCTCGCTGTCTCCTTCTGTCTGTCTGTCAGCTTCTTAGAGCATTTGCTGCTTTTCCATTTTCTTGTTGTTCTCTTAATGCAAATTGATTCCAATCTCCAACTCCTCGCAGCGCTGTTGCTGTTGATTGATTCATAGACGCGCCCTCACACTCCCTCAGCAGCCCCGCTTACTGCCTTTCTGTCCCTCTCTCTATCTCTATCTCTATCTCTCTCTGTTTCTCTCGCTTAATCGGTCATTGGGTCTTGTTATACAGCTCAATTATGGTCATTTGCCATGTGGCACATGGTTTGGGCTGCGTTGAATTGGGGCGGGGGGCGGTAACGCTTGGCCCGCCCACCCTTAACCTCCACTGGCTAACCCCTAAGTCCAGGGCACAGCCGCCCAACTCCAGGTCCTTTATCCACTTTCAGAGCGGAAAGCCGTGTCACGTGCTAAGGACCAAAGCCTTTAATCGATTTGCCTTTCGTCTTTGTCGTTAGCTAAAAATTGTTGCCTACTAAAAATAAACGCTTAATGCAAATCGACAACAACAACAACAGCAAACAACCAAAGACAACAACAATGAAAATTTTGAAAAGCAATTGCAAAATGTAGTCAACAAAAAGGCGTCCAAAAATTTTCAATTTGTTTGCTTATGCAATGGATCCGGCTATGTCTCTCCCTTGCTCTGCCGCTCTCTGTCTCTCTCTCTCACTCTCTCTCTCTCGCTCTTGTTTGTTTTTGCTATTACATACAAGCAAATAAACACACACGCACACTGCGATAGGCATCTATATAGACATATATACATATATAATTTTAATGACTGCATTTAGAAATTTTTATGCATCCTTTTATGCAAAATGCGGGAATTTAGATATCTATCGAGTAAATGTTTACGCTCTGCCCCCAAATTTATGCTCTAGTATTTAAATTTTGATGACTTTTTGAAAACATTTGCATATTGTACAGATACTTTATAGTTATCGTCTGTCTTGCATCTCCCTTCAGTTTCCAATAGGTTCAGGGTATATCAGAGTCGGCTACTGTCCACTTAAGAACTTTTACTTGTTATTCGGTCCAACATGTGCACGATAATGCAACATGGGCAACGTTTTAATGCTATCGTTTAAATAACTGAGAGAGATTACGCCAGCTGGGAAAGCAGCAAAACAAATGCCTAATGACATCTATCATAAAAGCTATTGATTATATTACACACTATCTGGCCCCATCCATTAAAAGTAATGATAAAAAACTAACAAAAGGGGGCTGAACAACACTTAGTAACCCACATTTAGTGACTTTTCATATAAAACATTAAAAATGCTTGGCATGACTCCCCCCGCATCAGATGTTCTCTACGAACTGAGCTGGCTGTGGAGCTAGACTAATGAAACTTGCTGCAGTTACTGCTTATTGTGGCTATTATGAAATATATGAAAACTGGCCAAATCGCTTGGCTATATCTTAAGCTTATGATAGATTAAAAATGAAAAAAAATCAGAAATTTGAGAAATTGAAATATATAAATTAGAAGTGTTTGCCTTTAAATTAGCTACAATAAGCTTAACTAAAGTTAAGCAATTTTTAGTACAAGTTTTGGTATATATATATATACATATATTTATATTTATATAAAGCGTATTAACCGGCTTTGCGCGTCTTAGACCATGCCACGTAGCCAAAGCAATTGATGTTCATTTGGCTTAAGATATACTTAGCTGTCATTTTAACTTTTTGACACATTTTCAATGTGTGTGTGTGTGTGTGGCTGGGTGTGGGTGTTTATATTCATGATATTTATATATATATATATGGTTCTTTAACGGCATTTGAACACGTCAGCGCTTTTCTGCTTTTTTTTGGCTGTGTGGGTTACGCTTATCAGATTGCCAGGCCGTATAATCGTATAAAATATATTATATGTTATATATATATATATATATATGCATGTATATGTGTACATATCTATGTGGCGTTATCTAGTGAGCATATAGCTAGCTCTTTCTCGCAGCCGCTTTCTCCTCGCTCGCTCTCTCCCTCTCTCTGTCTATCTCACTTGAGCTATCGTTTTGCTGTTGCCAGTTGCTTATCTTATCAATAAATAGCGACTACGACGACGCCAAAGAACTTCAATTCAATTTCTTTTCAATTTCATGCACACACAGACACCCACACACACATACACACACTCACTCACATACCCACACCTGTCAAGCAGACGTCAGTCAGTCAGGTTTTTTTTTCTACTTTCTTTTGCCTGCTCGTTGAAAATCTCGACAGAATCTCGTAATGATGAGCGACGGTGTCGTGTTTTCATTAAGGCACCAACACAGGATCCAGCACACACACACACACACACATCCAAAAAAAAAATGTAAATTTGAAAATCTTCTCTAATAATAATAATAATGTCGTGTAATAATACAATATGTATGCAGGCATATTGTCTTCTAAGGGTAGAGCAAGCTGCTGGCCTTTGATCTAATCGCCGGCACAACAACAAACACACACACACACACACACACACATATACATACATACACATGTATATACAGACACAGGTAGGCAATGCCTTAGCCTTACCTTTAGTCTCTAGTCAGCCTCCCTTGCAAACATGAAGATGTTTCGCTCTGCGGCTTTCACAAAATGTTAATTTTGTGCTAATGAAAGCGGCGTCTATTTGCCTGAGTGTTAGTGTGTGTGTGTGTGTGCTGGTGTGTGCTGGTGTGTGTGCAGCATTTAGACGCCATTTTGTCAGGCTGTCTAATGAAATTGCGCTGTCTTGTGCTAAAGATTTTTGGCTGCACAGATTTGCGCAAGGCAACAAAAAAAAAGTCATATGAGCAAGCTGTAGAGTATGCCAGACTAGAAGATGCCCTATAAGCTGCTTGCGACTTACTTTACTTTAACAGAATCATAAAGCAAGTTACTTTTTTTCCCATTGTCTGTTAAATACACTTAGACTGCTAATCGATATTTATCGATACTTTATAAAAACTTAAAACTCGTTTATTATTTTTAAATAAGGCGAAAATCTAAAAACAAAAGCAAAACAAACCATTGATATTTATCGAGCATTTTTCAAATGACCGAAACAATATTTATCGATATTTTTACAAAATATTTGCCACACATGAAAAATAAGCTTAAGCTGGGAGCTGAGTTAATTCAACTAAACCAAATTTGGTTTTCAAGATTTGCAATAATAACCACACTTGACAATCGATATATATCGATCTTGCTAAATTATTGAATACTTATAAATAGAATATATATAACTATAAATATTTTTGTAATATTTCGATATACCTTTAGTCTTAATATCTTTCAGATGTGCAATCGATATTAATCGATAACATCTAAGCTCAATTGGATATAGCAAGAATCACACCGAATCTCTATACTAATCAAGCTTAACTATTGGCATAGCTTTTCCCTGCTCAACCACACATCAATATACCCTCTATTCACCACTCTCGTCCCATTTACAGGGTATGGCAAACAGATTTTGTTTGAAACTAGCAATTTTGCCATGCCCCATGTGGCGTCATCTATGGGCAGGTGTAGTTCGGGCCCAGAAGTTCTGGCAAGTGTCAAATAACAATTAACTAAATGAGCCCATCTAGGAAAGATTCTACCAGATGCAGCCAAATGCAAAATTCTTCACAAAATCCTCTTTTAATTAACTTCAAGTGTAAATATTTATTTTGTGGCTTTCATTTCGCAAAATTGTTGTTTACAAATAGCAAATGTTGTGGAAATTGTGAATTTCAACCGAAAGTCATAAACATTATGTCAAAATTCCCATTTTGTAGTTTAATTCTGTTCGAATCCGAAATGTTATCGAATACTTCTCCTTTAACAACTCTCAATGCCGATAGCATACTGTTATCGATATACATATGTACTCAAATATTTGGTATGCAATGACAACCAATAGGAATGGGTTGGCTTGTTATCGTTTATCGAATAGATTTCGAATAACAATTATCAGTTATCGACAGTTTATTCTTTGTATATAAACGCAATGATAACAGTTTTGTTATTCATTTTCGATAACTTATCGTAATTGAATATGATTTGAAAGCATGAGATAATCAATGAGCAGTGGATGTTATCGAATCATATATGTGATCGATTGTTATTGCAGAGCTCACCTCTTTTATGTGTATAACTATTGCAAGTCGATTGTTATCGACTTATGTGTTACCGATTACTGATATTTTATAATAATGAAAATAAATTTCGGGTACTTACCAAATGTAAAACAGTGTTGACCACCTCCCGATTGGTCACCTGGCCGACCTCGATGAGGCCGATGAGGACGGCAAATTTCAGATTATCGGCGGTTGTCATTCTGACGATTTCGTCGGGCCGCTTAATGTCGCTGAACGGCGGACGCATGATGTCCGCCATTTTGTAACGAGTCGATTGTTGATTTGTTGATGCAATTGTTGTTATCGATATCGATTGTTTTGTTTCAGTTCGAGCGTCGATTGTTCGATAGACGCATACAAAAGTGTGGCATTAATTAGTTGTTGACGTCAATCGTTCAGATCGAGTTATATAAATATACAGGCATACATATACACATATATATATAACTATATGTGTGTAGACTGGATGGATGGAATTCACAGGGGACAGCTATGGACGCACACACTCACGCACAGCAAGACACGAATGCACACACACATACATACATACATATATTTATATATATATATATATGTGCGTGGATATATCTCTAGATATATCTATATATATATATATATATATTTAGATCTATAGAGAGAAAAACACAAACAACGATTTTTTCAATCGGGAAGGAGACAAAATAAAAATTTGCTTGAATTTTGTAATATTTTTGGAGAATTTTGATTTATTTTTTATTTTTAGATTTTGCACATTTGTTTTTGTTGTTGTTTTTGTTGTTGTTGTCGTTTTGGCAGCCGCTGTTGGCGCTCATATTGAGTCGCTTTTGTTGTTACATTTATTTCGTATTTTTTTAAATTAAACTTTGAAATATTTTATATAATTGCACACTTTTTTAATTTTAATTTTTAGTTTGTTTTTGTTTTGGTTTTTTTTTGTGGATTTTTGGATGGGTTTTTATTGTTGCAGACATTCGGAAAAGAGGAAAAGAGAAAAAATACAGAAATGCAAAAATTAATCAAATACTTTTATGTATGTAAATTTAATATTTATAATATGTGTAAAGGCAAAATGACATTCAACATAAAATGCTCGCTATGGAAATTTCATATAAAATTATTATTTTATATAAGAGTTTCTAAATGGGAATGTTGAAACGGTGCAAATGCAGGTTAGCGCAACTCTTACGATGGCCAAGAGGGAACAGAATATATTTAGTTATATATTTATGCATAAAAATAATAATATAATATTAAAAATAAATAAAAAATAATAAAAAAATTTATAAAGCAAATATATAAAAATTGGAATAAATAAAATACAAAAATTGGAATATATTGAAAATGATATAAAAAATAGAATTACAAATATTGAAAACAAAAATAAACAAACACTAATACAATTCAATCTTAAATTTTAGAAATAAAATTAAACACTAAAATAAAAATAAAACAGAGGAAACGAAAAATATAACAAAAACACAAAACATTATAATTTGTGTTACTAAAAATAATAAAATATAAAAGAACGAAACTAAAACAAAAAATTTGTGAGTAAAATAAAAAAAAAACAATCGAAAATATGAAAATTAAAATATAGAAATAAAAGAAAAAGCAGCTAAATATTATATTATACTTATGGCAAAAAAAATAAATAAATGAATATTCATATTTGTGCCCTAGACTATCTATCTCTCTCTCTCTCTCTCTCTCTCTCTCTCTCTCTCTCTCTCTCTCTCTCTCTCTCTCTCTCTCTCTCTCTCTCTCTCTCTCTCTCTCTCTCTCTCTCTCTCTCTCTCTCTCTCTCTGTATCTGTCTATATCTACCTTATCTCTCTCTATCTTTCTTTCTTTCTCTCTCTATCTCTACAATTATGTTTCCAAGTTATTTATCGAAATATTTCATTATATTTATTATAATAAATTATTAAAAAAATAAAATAAGGATCAGTGCATATAAAAAAATATATATAATACAATATATATTCATTTGTTTATTTATATACATATTGCTATATATTTAAAATTACTTTTCACGCTTTCATTTCATTTAAAACTTCCATCCTGAAAGTTTTTCTTTTCTTTTCCTGGAAACTTAGGGAAATAGAGTAAAAAGAATGCTTAACAAGAACTTTTATTTTCAATTGTCAGATAGTATGTCTCTATTCTATCCCACTCTCATTCTAGTCTGTCTGTCTCTCTTTCGCCCTTTTGCTAGTTTATTTACTTTTTTGATGTCTGCGCTCGTAATATCTTAGGGTTTGACTCATGCAATTGTACTCGGCATATATAAAACAGAAGAAAAAGAAGAAGCAGAATATAAAAACAATTCGTCACGCATCAGCAGTAAAAGTTGCATAGGGCTATATACATACATATACCTATATATATATATATAGATAATCGCTGAATAAGAGACTTTTAGAACACTTCTCAAGACTCACAATGCCTAGGCGGTAATTTTGTTAAGAATTTTAAATTATTTTTGGAACAATATTATGCCAGTAAATCATATATAACAATATTTCTCTATATGTGTATATACCAAGATTTTATGGCACAGGAATACTTTTAAGAAATTGAACAATCGAAAGTATTTTCAAAAGAATTTTTTTAGTTTCCTATAGATTGGGAAATATTCAATAACTAACTAATAAGTATAATTATATAATCTTTAAATATATGTCAAAGTCGAAGATTTTTAAAAGAAGAACTTTTATAGTATCTTAGATAAAGGGAGTACTCTAAACCACATGCGGAGTTTACCAACTGATATAATTCTTTGTGTTTGCAAGTGTACTCTTTCTATATCTAACTAACTATACTTTTTATAACTGTATACAGTTCAATAATAATACCGTAATATATACACTTGTGTTCATAAAAATTGTAAGGCTATTATTTCGTTCAAAAATAAAAAATAAATCAGCTGCTCATAGAAATGTAAGTTAAAAAAAAATAATAATAAATTAAAAATATTTTATTCTTCATACGTTTCAATTAAGTTGTCAAAATATTGTGATTATCATTCAATTTTGTTGTAGAACATTTAGTGCTCAGTCGCAATACTATTTTTATGAACACAGCTGCATATAATTCCCGTCGAACCTTTTTTCTCTTGAACGTTTTCTTCACCTTTGCTAATGCAAAGGTAAACAATGGAGTCGTCTATCGAAAAGAGTTTTCTGACTTCTTTTGGAGAGTTTTTTAAAGATTTTTTACCTGGCAATTAGAACTTTGAAGTATTTTCTACAGGAAATAAGAGGAACAAGAATCAACGCCTTTTATTTGTTAGAGGAAAATAACTCTGCGACATTTTACCAGGTTTCTTCTTCATACACATTAATGCTTATTCTAGTAATATATGCCAATAGGTGTGCTACCTATTGCCAATCTGAATGAAATAAATGTGTAGTGCCGTTAAAACCATAATAAAAAAATGAAAATGAAAAAAACCGGCGTGGCACATTTTGCGGTAGTTGGTTGGTAGCAGTGCCGTCGACGTCGACGTCGATGACGTTGAAGTTGACGTTGACGGGTCGAACGACAGTAGCGCTATCAAACGTAATTAACGCAGCACGCTACGTAAATGAAGTGCGCTTACGCTAACGCGACACGTAAGCGGCCGGTTTTGGGCCCCCTTCTTTGCAATGTGGCCGTGCACGCGAGGGGGTGGGCAACAAGATAAATGAAACGAGCAAGAGAATGGCAGCGAGAGAGGACAAAAGAGAGCGAGGGAGAAAGAGAGCAATTGAAGTCGGAACGTCACAGCAGTTCAGGTGATGCATGCCCAATTGGAGCATGCATGTTGCCAATTGGCAATTCTCATATGCATTACACAACAACGCAAATGTATTTGTGTAGAGATCACGCTCTCAAAACTCAAAAAAGATAATAAAAAAACGCGTGTAGAGCCGCTATCAATTTGTTATCTAAGCGTTTATCTCAACATGGCAGCCACACCAAAAGCAAATGTGATAAATAAATGAATGTTATCTGTAAATTCGAATTGGACTGCAAATTGTTTAGGTATACTAATTAGAGCCTATGCATTAACGTAACATTTTTTATACAAAAGTAGTTGTTATATTTATATATATATATATATATATATATATATATATATATATATATATATATATATATATATATATATATATATATATATATATAACAACTACTTTTGTAGTTGTATATATACATATATATATTGTTGTTGGTTATTTTTCTTGGCCCAACAACTTTGCCATTGGGTTTGCACTTTACGCGCGTTCTCTTGCTCTCGCTCTCTTAGACGCGTTCTCACTGGCTCTCTGGCTCTCTGGCTCTCTGTTGCTGTTATTGTTGTTGCTGCTCTTTGCTGTTATACGTCGTAGTTGTTGTTGGTGGTGGTGGCTAAAAGCGGCGCTTGTACCTTTTCGTTCTGTTTCGGTGGTTGCTTCGCTCGCGCTTTTCGAATAACAATCAAAAAATATACAAAAAATGTGGTTTTAACCAAATTGCGCAAGCAAAACGGCAACAACAAATTGCTCAAATTCAAATAGAAGTTATTTACACGATGGCCTAACATAACCTCCAACGATGAATTGTTAATTGCAAGCACACACACGCATACACACACACAGTGCTAATGTTTTTTCCTTTGTTTTCCTTAGCATTGCGAGTCTCGCTCTTTCAGTTGCGCTCCAGGCTCTTCCACAATTCACCTTGGTCGCCTTACACACACACACACACACACAGAAACACACCTTCCTCGCGCCCTATGCCCCGTTCTCCCAATAGTGTCCACTATGACAAAGTGGAAAAATCAATGAAAGTCAGCGCGTAACAGAGCCCAAAAGAGCGGGCACGCGAGAGTAAAGTGCATGCAAAGACAAAGAGAGCGCGCGCGCGTCCTGCTTCCCCTTATACCCCAGTCGCCTCTCCGTATCTCGCTCGGTCTCACACGAACCTGAACACACGTCGTCAGTTTGTTAACTTATTCTTATTAGGCTGCTGGCAGCTACCACGTTCTACCACACACACATGCATACTTTACATTCACATACGGCACACACATACGCATACTACTCTCACGCTCTCTCGCTGACGCTCTCTGGCTGATTCTCTGTGGATGTCAACGTCAGCGTTGCGGCTTTTCTGCTTCTTGCTACGTTTCGCTTTTTTTTTATCGTATTATTTTGCACCGCTTTGTTATATTTTTCATTCTTATAAGCGCACCAACACCAACAAAAATGCTAATTGGCATTGCCCAAACTACACAAAATTCTTAATTGGAGTGTCAAATGCACCAAATGCCAATTCGCCGCGCAAAGCAAACAAAAACAAACCACAAAACCAAAAAAAAATGAGAAGAGAAGAGAAAATAACGGAAAACCATAACAAGAACGAGCATGTTCAATGTTTTACAACAAAATGCCGACAAAAAAAAAGACAAGTATATTTACGTTGTTTTGGTGTCAGCCGCATGGGCTACCCTTTGTTGTTGTTGTTGTTGTTGTTGTTGTTGTAATTGTAGTTGTCGTATTTTATTATCTTTTGTAATTTTCTATAAATATTACCGCACACTTTACATAAACATATATATTAATAATTTATATATTTTTTATTAATTTTTTTTTTTATAGTTGTTACGATTGTTGTTTCGCACACGTACACACAGAAAAAAAAATTGCAAAAAAATTATTATTATGATGCATAAATAAATCAACGTTCACGTAACAACAAAAACACAACCATCTTCGTTTACGTCTTGCTGCCTACTGACGTTAACTCTTACGCCGTCAAACTAGCAATGAGAACGCATGGACAACAAACCCAATCAGAATGCTTGTTTATCGGCCATGTTCTCGTTTACGGCAACGCACAGTGGTGTGCATTGCTTACAATGCGCGCCGCTAGTTAACTATTACCAATTGCTTAGCATCAACTGCTGTTTTGGTTAAACATTTCAAATGCAATTTTAATTTAAGCAATTAGTGGTGTTTTTGCCATGTACTAACTTAGCAAAATGTAATTAAATTATCTTAAGGACACAAACGGAATTGGGAACATCCTGCTTTACAGCTGTTAGAGGATAATAACATCTGTTGGCACTTAGGCCACACTGTTAGTGTTAGCTTAACATTGAGACACTCAGCAAAGAGCCAGGCTCTTTGGCCCGCTCTCTGTTATTAGCACTGAGAGTCCTTTGGAAAGTGTTGCCCATTTTTGGCGCTCGTATAACACTTTTTGAATGGATGCTTTTCGACTAAACGGTATCAATTTTACACAAATTTTGTGTATAAATAAAAAACGTACGTTCATTTAAATGAATTAAATAATGTTATTTACTAATATATTTTAGTTTTAACAGCTTAATTTGCTAGTCAAATTTCTTCTTCTTTCAAATACTTTGCAATTTAGCGCGCATTTACTATTACAGTATTTTCCAGCACTAAAAAATCTTTGCTGCAAATTAAGTGTGATGAGGGTATTTAAATACTCTAACATATGAGTTTGTATTAATCAGCTGTTTTAAGGTCTGGGCTAAGGTAATAACTCTTTGAAGTGCAATGACATAAGAAATTAGATTTATATTCCATTATTTATTTATAATACTATATTATTAATGTAGTTTTATAAGCAAGTACGAATATTTAAGAGCTTGTCTAACAGGAATGGCTGTTTTCTGCGTTAGTTGCGCATTTTTGCGCACTTAAGCGATAGTTTCGGATTGAGACAAAATAAATAACATTTATTTAAAAACTTTACTTGCCAGAGGAAAGCAAGAATCCTTTAGTATGCGTATGGGTAATTATAAATTGAATCAAACACATATTAGCCTACTTTCAAACACAAAATCAAATTTGATCATTTTTAAATATTTGTTCTTATCGATAACATATTTGTGGTAAATAATTAGCATAAAATTTTAAGATTTGGGTAAAATTGCTTTGCATTTATATGTCTTAGGAGAAAAATAAGAAGTAATTTATATTTTTAGCATTGTGTTACTTAAACTTATGAGCCCAAAGCTGACTAAACAAAGAAATAATAACATTTGAATTCAAATTGCGTGATAAGTTGCAGCACCTTATCGATAGGAGCAGTCAACAGCGAGTATCGGTGCAATCGATTATTTCGGCCAGAGGCTTACAGCTCTATTCACTGCGGACGCGTTTCGAGCAATAGCAACAGCAACGACGACAGCGCCACAACAACACAACACAAATCAATTTTGTGTGGAAGTGTGCAAAATATTATAAAATAACTAATAAAAAAGAACCAAGCAATTGGCTCAATAACAACAGCCAAAAATAATAGAAAAAACAAATATTTTTTGTTATTGTTCGATCTAATTTTTTTTTTGTTGTTATTGTGCGTTAGTAGTTGGCTGCACGGGCAGCAGCAGCAGTAGAAAAACGCAGGAAAAAAGTGAAATCGATTAAAAGCGCAATAGGCAGCAGCAGCAGCAATAACAACAACAACACCACTTGATGGAAAACAAATACAAATCCGTGGAGCAAAATTAAAAGCAAAAGAAATTAAGAACGCAACAGAGATTTAATTTTAATGTCGCAGTAAATTTGTGTGCTAGCAAGAAGCAGCAGCAACAGCAAGATACAACAACAACACACCAACAACAGCAGCAGCAGCTGAGGCAGAAGCTGAATCGAAAACAGAAAACAAAAAACGAATACGAACAGCAAAGAACGTACGACGCAGACGTCGCAGTCAGCAGCCTCTCTGCTGTGTGCGTGTGTGTAAGTGTGAGTGGTAAGCGTGGGTGCGAGCGAGGCAGCAGCAGCAATAGCAACAACAAACCAGAGCAGCAACGACGACTGCGACGTCAACAGCAACAGCAACAGTAGCGACGGCTGTTGTCGTTCTTTTTTTTCGTAATTCATTTTTTTTTTGACACAATTCAAACAAACTCGGAGCTTTGCACTTGAAAGTTTGTTTCTAAGCTCGACTTTGCGTTTGCAGCTGCAGCGTGTGTGTGTATTGTGTGCGTGCGCTTGCCTTTGTGTGGGCGTTAACAGTCGCTGGCGGTGGAGAGTTCAAAGAAGAACGCAAGACGCAATTTGTTTGTTGCCAGCCAAAAAATAAAAACTAAATCAATTTACTGTTGCTGCTGCTGCCGACTGCAACAACAACATTAACAGCAAATAGCTCAAACACACAATAATAACAAAACAGACCAATAAAAACAAGAAGAAGAAAGCAACGCAGCAATAGCAACAACAGCTGAAAACATATGATTTTTGTTTGTGTTGCTTTTGTTTTTGTGCGCTCTACTCTGCTTCTTCCACTGTGTCCTCAGTTATAAGCAGCGAAAACACGAAAGAAAAAGTTGAGCAGCGGAACGTGCGGAACTGGAACGAGCAGACTCGCATTGTTGTTGCTGCTGCTGCTGTTGCTGCTGCTGCTATCCACCAATTCTCAACTGTTTCTTGACGTCGTAACAACAACGCCAGCAGAAGCAGCAGCGTCAAGTGGTAAGTTTACTGTTGCCGTTGTTGCTATTGTGTTTCTTCTATTTTTCATATCTTTTTATTTTTTAACTTTTTTGTTGACGCGCGAAATAAATGAAATGGGAAAAAAACTAAAATTTGTATTGAAAAACAAATTGTTATTTTTATGCAATTTTTTTTGTTTATTGTTTATCTGTTCGCTTTTCGAAACTCTTTCAAGTACACACAAATACACACAGACAGACAGGCATATGAATGTATGTGTTTGTTTGTATACGTGTGGCCCACCTCTACATTTTTAGTAAAGCCATGTAAGCGACGTGTGCGTGTATATTTTGCATATATATGCATTACTTGATTTCATAATGTATTTGTCACATATATCCGTTATATTCGTGTAATAGCAATGAGTGTTTTGTGTTTTTTTTTTTGTTTAAATTCGCAGTGCTTTCAAAAAATATACATATATACACACATATACAATCAACACACTGATATACACGCAGATACGCAAATATACATACATACATACATGTATATATTTATATATAAGCGAGCACTGCGCGTTAGACAGACAACGGACAACAGAGCGAAACGCAACCAAATGAAACGAACTGATAATGAAACACTTTGGCACATTGGTACACAAATATACACATATGTAAATATTGAATACATTTAATTAAAAGCCAGACTGATAAACTAGTTTTAAAAAACTGTGAAGTTAACTTAAATGAATATCATAGAATAAGTTTATTGTTTGAGTTCTTAAGCAAATACATATTTGATTTAAATTTTAATTCAATTTAATCGTGATAATATATTTGATTTTATTGAGCTATTTATCTATAACTCAATCACTAACATATTTTTATAACATAGGAGTTTATGAAATATAAAACGTATAAATATTTTGTTTACTTTAGCTTATTATATTCATATGCTTTTGTAACACTGTGCATGACGCTTTGCTAGTGTAAAGAGAGGCGATAAAAGGAGAAAGAGTATAAAAACAACATTTTGTTGCAGCTGACCGACGGGGGTATGTGTGTGCGTGTTTGTTGTTGTTACTTCATTTTGTTTTTGTTTTTTCTTCTATGTGCTCTGATTCTACTTATTTTGATAATTGCTTTTGGGCTATGGGGGTCTCTTTGTTTCCAAAAATTATTAGCAGCAGCAACTAAAAATAAAGCAATTGAACAAGAAGAAAAGAAGGCATTGGTATGATAAAGACAGACAGCACATGCATTGCAAATGACACAATAATTGTATTTCGTTTATTTATATTTATTTTTATTTTTTCACAAATCGCAGTTCAGCGACCATTTTTGTAGCATTTTGTTAAATTATATTGTTTATGGTTTTGTATATATTTTAATGGATTTTACTTTTTGTTGGTATACAAAATTGCAAAACCCTAAGATGCTAACACACTCACTCTAACGCTTGCCTACTTTCATCATCCTGTTCTGGCTTGCACTTGCTGAGAATTGTTTGAAATTTACCGCAAAATGTTTGCCAAATATTTTTTTTGTGAGTGCGAATGTTTACGAGAAAAGAATGAGTGCAAAACAAGTGAGTAAGAGGCACAACAAAAATGAATTAAAACAAATAAGTTGGCAACAGCTTGCTTTAGTAGTGGTGTATATGCGCATGTATTAGTGCAAAGCTCTTGAGCGCATTTCCTATTGTGCTTTCAGTTAATATTCGTGTGTTTCGTACGTGATCTGAAAAAGCAATGAAAGTCATTTGCAAAGAAAAGAGGAAGGGGTAGGAAGAGAAGGGTAAATATGTAAAATTTATAAAATAATTCTAAATTCTAAATTGAGCATTTTTATAGATTTATGAAAATATTAAAATTTTATACGAATATTAATATATGGATTGGAAAACGATTGTGCACCTGTTGATGTTTTCTTTTATATTCTTTCCTTTAATTAATACTTATAATATTGAACTATAATCAATTTAAATGTTTTCTTATTATCGATAATTGCCCATTAATAATTGATCATTCAATTTCTTGCATTTTTCTAATTTTCTTCAATTATGAATTGGACGATTATTTCGCTGATTGTACTATGACGCATTCGAAAGCTCCTTTAAAAACAAGTGTTCACATAATCCACTTCAAATTGGATATGAGGCCCCTGCATATTGCTCAATTTGTGTCCTGCCTCACTCCTTACTCACTTTCTCTCTCTTTCTCTTCTACTTCCACAGAATTGCGTGCGCTTTTGAAATGCTATGTGCATGTATATTTATAGTAACACCTGTTCACAAAAGTTTGCGTTTGTGTGCGTGTGTGTGTGTGTGTATTGCGTTTTGTTGTGATTTTCTTTGTCTACCAAAATCGCTTTGCGTAGATTTTGTCAAGTGGCTTTGGCAATGAACAGCATAAACAATAACACACACATATATAAACAAGTAAGCTTTTTGCTGAATGTGTGTATGTGTTTGATTTTGCGTGCACAAAGAAATCGAACGAACGGAACCATTGGCTCAACTTGCTGACTAGCTAGCTTATTAACATTGACACACCAATTTATACACACACACATCCGTGGCACACAAAGCAAAAAGCTCGCAGACAACGGTCAACGTTTGTTGTTGCTTTTATTTTGCTGCCTATGTCAAAACAAAGACAATGTGCGTTGCGGTCTATATGGGGATAGAGGGATTTGTTGAGTCGTGTAGAGAGGTAACTGTTGCTGTTGAATGCAGCTACACTTAAACACACGTACATACACACATATATTTCACACTGCTGTTTATGTGTGCGTGACATTGCTTTTAGTTGGCATTGCTAGCGCTATTGTTGCTGCTGATGCGCGTGTGCGCAAGTCAATTAAGGAATGCAACGTTTTGTGCCCTGTGCTAGTCTTCCTACTTCTTCACTCTTCTCTCTCTCTCTCTCTCGCGCTCTCCTCTCCAGCTACTTAAAACACAAAGAGCCACAACACATTTAAACTCAAATCAACTTTGCAATGCGTCATGCGCTTTATAAAAATAGTTTTTCGCTTAACTTTAACCCCTACTGTTGTGCGCAATTGTATATCTGTTGAATATCGTGCGCTGCATACCCTATAAAATCCAACTGTTTGTGTTTGCATGTATAGAAGTTGAACCCGTTCCAGAAACTGGTTAATATTTTAATAAATATACATTTTATTATCATTTATATGTTTATATATAACAGTAAATATTTCCAGTTTGCACAAAAAGTTCAAATTTTTTTAAAATAAATAAAAGTAAAAATAGCGTATCTTGCAGTACGTATTTCATGTCATATACCAATTAATTTATTTATTGAATTGCTTCAAATTTCATTGCGCCCTATTACGCGGTCTTAATTTATATGTGTGCATATCTACATACATACATCTGTATGTAGATATGTGCATGCATATGCATATATTATTTCACAATGTTGATCTTTGGCTTGTGGGATTGGCTCTTACACTATATGATTTCATATTTATATATACGTCATAATAGCTTATCAAACAATCTGTTTCAGTATGTATACATACATATGTATGTACACAAGTGTCAGCTCTTAAAAGCAAACGCAATTATTACACGTGTGCATCTAAATGGGTTAAATGACTTTCTATGGAATATTTTGTTCGTAACAAAAAATAACGACTTTATCGGCACGATAAGCTAGCGAAGCGATAAGCAAAACAGTTTTTAACTGGCAGCAACAATTTGGCAAATTGTTTACAAATTGTTGAAACAACCTTTAACCTCTTGTCTATTAAGAAAATCATTCGTGTGACAAACATGCACTTGGCCTGCATATGGGTTAATGGATAATGTTGCTATTTGGGTATTCGTTTCGTACAGCTGTTGCTCGCTGCATCTCGCTCGCACTCAAAGCTTGTCTTTGCATTTTCGTGTTTTTTTTTTTCCGTTGCTATTGCTTTGTGCTTGTTTCGTTTCTTTTGGCTCCACTGTTTCTGCTGCTGTGGTCTGATGATAACTACGGGTTGCTTAACGTGCATATATATGTACTCTTGACATACATGCATACATATGTATATATTAGAGTAATAATAAAAGCACGTTACAAAAATTTGTTTACCAATTTGCTTAGATTGCCGTTTCTTTGTTTAATGTTTTATTTTATTATTTTTTTACCTACGCTAGTGGCTATTGACGTTGTTTATTAAAATTAATACATTTGTTCAATTGCGTGGCGTGTACTGTAGTTATATGTATGTGTGTATGCATATATTTGTTTCATTGCACTTAATTTACGCCCCATGGAATCGCTGTCGCCCCCCTCGCATTTGTGTGTGCAAGGCAAAATAAAAAGTTGAAAGAAAAAACACGTAATGCGCTAATAAAACTTAAAAGGGGTGCGGGTAGTGCTGATGGGAACAGCGGGTGTAGGCGAAGGAGGAGCAGGGCCTGGCACACGAGTGTGCAAAGATTAAAAGCATTTGATTGAGACAAAGCAAAAGCCATATATACGCAACGAAATGGAATTGAAATGTAACCGAGAGCGGACTAAAACGAATGGAGAGACGAAAAGTATTTGTGTTTGTGTGTATTGCATTAAGCTAAGAGCGTAAATGAGAGCGAGAGAGAGATAGAGAGAGTGCTTGCAGTTTGTTTATTTATTTTTTTGCTTTCTATTTTGCAGTTGACAACAGCTGGGCAATAACGCATACAAACACGAGCAGAGGCCGCAGCGGCAGCGCAGTCAGCACACAGACAGACAGCCTGTCACCGTCTCCGTCACCCATCATCATCATCCTCCAGCTAAGCGAGCGAGTGAGCGAGCGACAACGACGCGCTCTCTCTACAATTACTCTCTCACTTTGATTGAACGAAACAGCTGAGACGGGCGACAGCCGTCGCAAATACACACATACACAGACAATGTCCGCGGATTCGCCGCGCCGCCATCACAGCCATCATCTTCATCATCATGCATCTGGCGGCGGCGGAGGTGGAGGCGGTACCATCGGACTGCGAGGAGGTATGTCCATGCCGGCAATGGTGCCGCCACAAACAGTCAGCGATCGCTCCATATTGGACTCGGCCATCGGATTCATTAACGATGTAACGCTGGTTCATCAACCGGTGCAGGATCCCAAGGACACGATCACCTGGGCCCGGTTCGAGACGAGCGCCGATGTGAGCGATCCTCGTTTTGGCGACGACTGGGAGCTAGAGGGCAATGCGGCACCCCCACTGCTTCTGATTCTCGGCTATGGCCTAGGTGTTCAGGTCTGGGCAATACCTGCCAACGGTGAGGCCGTGGAGGTGTTGTCCTGGCGCCATGGTGTCGTTACCGCTTTGCGTGTGCTGCCCACGCCGCTGACCGCTAACACCGCACTCGATGACAACGGACGCGCCGACGAGCCAGTGGATGCATTTGCCGAAAAGCGACCTTTGGTGGCCCTCGTCGATGGCGGCAGCGCTGCAGCCAGCAATCTTATCTCTGGTGGTCAGTACTCCGGCGGAGTTGGTGGCGGCGGCTCCTCGGGGCTAACAGGCGGCGGCTTGGGCAATCCCTCGCACGCCGGCGCCTCCCACTTCAGTGCGGTCAACTTTGTTTCGCTGAAAACGGGCGTCCAGGTGAAGACGATCAAATTCAAGAATCCGGTGCTGGACATTCAAGCCAATCGCTCGGCGGTCGTCATCAGCTTTCACGAGCGTCTGGCCGTGTTTGATGCCCGCACTCTGGAGGATCGCCTAACCATAACCACCTGCTTTCCCAGTCCGGGGTAAGTTAGAGCTTTCACATCTCTTTCCTTCAAGGATGCTTTAACCTTATTCCCGGTCTCTCTTCATTAGCATCAATCCCAATCCCATAGCGCTCGGACCACGTTGGCTAGCGTATGCGGAGCACAAGCTGCTCCACTCAAAGCGCAGCGGCGGTGGATGCGACGGGGAGGGAGTCCCTAGCTATACGGCGACGGTGCTAAATGCAGCCAAATCCTTTGGCAAGGGTCTGCGAGAGCTGGGTGAACAGGTGGCCGCCGGCTTGACCGGCACCAGTGCCGGCAGTGGCAACAGCTCCAAGAGCAGCAGCTTCGACTCGGCCACAGGCGGTGCCGATGGCAAGCAATCCGGTGTGGTGACCATTATAGATGTGAAGGTAAAGTCCAAGGCACGCTGCCATACACGATATCAGAAAGGCATTCAGCTCGCTTTCCTGTTTTAGCATCCCATCAAGGACTATAGCCCGACGACGGGCACGCCGCTTGGCTCGACGGGTGATCCAATCGTTGCCCACTTTGTGGCGCATAGCGAGGCGCTGGTTGCCATGGAATTCGACAGCTCTGGCATGCTGTTGCTAACAGCGGATCGTCGTGGTCACGACTTCCATGTCTTTCGCATCCAGCCCCATCCTGTTGGCTCCAGTCTGGCTGCAGTGCATCATTTGTATGTGCTGCATCGCGGCGATACCAGCGCTAAGGTGCAGCATATTGCCTTCTCGCTAGACTCCCGTTGGGCGGCCGTATCCACGCTGCGCGGCACCACCCATGTCTTCCCGATAACGCCATACGGCGGCGCCATGGGCGTGCGCACCCACACCTCGCTGCATGTGGTCAACAAGCTGTCGCGTTTCCATCGCAGCGCCGGCCTGGGCGCCGACGGACGCTCCAGTTCGCCCATCTCCCATTCGGAGAGCACCACGTTTGTGCAGTCACTGCAGCCGTACCATAATCCCACATTGCCGCCATTCCCACGACCCACTGTTGTTCAGCCGCTGGCGCAGTTGCGCCAACCATTTGTGCTCGGCTCGCCGCCAGGCAGTGCGACAATGGGCAGCGGTTCAGGTGGCGGTGGCGGCGGCGGCGTTGGCTCTGGCATCGGCGGCAGCAGTGGCAGTGGCGTTAGCTCCCATCAGCGTCAACGCTTGTCCTCGCTGTCGGATGATTGCGGCAAACCGCTGAGCGTTTGTGCCACCTTCGCCAAGTCGCGCTCTTGGCTGCTGGAGCCGCCAACGGCGACGCGCGAGGCGCCGCATCGCGTCCAGCGCAAGGCAGTCGATTCGCTATTCGTGATGGCCGGCCATGGGGCGCTCATACAGTACGATCTGGACACGAAGTTAGCCTCAAGTGAGTTGCTGCCGACTTGCATTCGACGTAGTTCAGACAGTTCCTAACATGAGTTTTGCCCTTTGCCCTTTCAGATGTTGCCAAAGAGAAGATTTGTGATGATACGCCCATTGAGCTCGAGGTGGAGGCCAAGGCGCAGTGGAATCTGGGCCGACGCAAGGATGGATCTCATGAAATTATACCACCGCTAGCGCTGGACAATTGGCTGATCAAGGATCGCCATGCCAGCCTCCTCATGGACAGCGCCCATCATTTCGATGAGCCCGACGAACGACCTGAGAGCTGGTTGGCCCAAGTCGAAATTATCACTCATGCCGGGCCCCATCGTCGGCTCTGGATGGGACCGCAGTTTGTTTTCAAAAACTACAACACGCCCAGCGGGTAAGAGTCGCGGGACAAGCCTAGACGAAGCTATCACTTCATAGATCGTATTTCTCGGCAAATACAAATTATATAGGGTATCAGGCAGCTGTGCAGAGGTAACAGACGGAAGTAGCTCTGGCAGTCTAGACTGGATCTTTGTAGTATATGTTCTTGTAAGAGTTGTTGTTTCGATAACTTTTTACTATCGATTTTTGAGGACGTTCTATATTTAGAATGAAAGTTTATTGTGAACAAGCAGCAGAGCATAGCTCTAAGCTGGGCTCGCGGTATCTGCTAGTCGAGCACTTTCGGCTTTTGCTGGTTTTTCTCTATTCTGCATATGTAGAATCAACGAGCTCAGGGTGGGGATTATAGTTCTTCTAATACTCTGTTTAGATTTGAGAGCTTTACTCTCGACTAGAGCACGTCTGCTCTCATTGTATCATTGAAGCTTTAACCTTTGCTTTGCTGCAGCTCCAATTTGAACCACGTGGATGCGGAGGCTGTGGAGATAGGCGTTACCAAGACGACAGCCACAACGTTGCCCTCGACGTCAGCTGGCTGTGGTGCAGCGGGCGGTGGTGCAATTATTGCCGCCGTCGAGCGCTCCAGTCCACTGAACATGCCGCTGGGCGCAGCTGGCGTCGGGATTGGTGGCGCCAGCGTCGCCGCCACGGCACGTGCCGGCGTGCCGGTGCTCATCGAGTCCGGTTCGTACAGTAAGTGAATGAAATGCGATTCTGAACTGGGAAGAAATTGAAAACTCTTTCTCATTTACAAATGTGCTTGACCACTCGCTGCTGCAGGCAGCATTGAGCAGAGCCCCAAGCTGATGGATCGCTTCCGACATGGACATTTGGACTCGGACTACGGACACGGCGACATGCGCCTCAAGGAGGATCTGGCCGATGCCATGCGCGAGTCGCCCTCGACGATGGCAGCGCGTCGCGAGACCGGTAAGTCTATATAGTAATTTAAATCTCAACTATCAAGCATATATATATTTATATATATCGTGTTCAAATGTGATTCGATTTGGTAACTCTTTTTGACAACGTATAAAGAGTTATATATAGCGTAATGTTCCTATTTATAAATATTACATTTGAGCGCTCTGCTAAAATCGATTATTAATATAGTTATCGTTATCGTTATCGTTTATCGCTAGCTAAGCTTTACCTCTTTGATAAGCGTTGCCTCTAAAATTGATTGTTTCATTGAATGTATTACTATTATATTATTGTAATTATTTTTTATTATTGTTTATTGTTTATTGTTTATTGTTTATTGTTTATTGTTTATTGAACGCTTTATGAGAAATGTAAATTTGAAATTGGCAAAAATCGTAAACAAAACAAAAAAAAAACACCACGAAATTGGCATTGGTTTCACCTTTTTTTATCTTTTATCCTTTTTGCAACAGTTTGCAATTACAGTCTATATACAGATATATCTCCCCATATACATATATATACTACCCGATATCAGCCCTATGCACCTAGCATATCATGTCATTTCATTGGTTCCACATGTATGTGTGTGTGTGCCTGTGTGTGTGTGTGTGTGTGTGTCGTCTATTGAATTTATGTTCCAAATTCCATAAATTCAACTACCCAAAGTCTTAGCAACAGTGAGCATTCGCTAATGCAAACTTTTAGATATTAAAGAGAAAATTTTATTATATAAAAATTTGTTTTTTTTTTTCATCTAATAATTTGAATATAATTATTTGTTACATTACAAGTGTTTACTGTATCTGTCGTTGTTGTTGCTGTTTTTCTTTTCTTCTGGTGTTTTGCGCAGCTATGGTCACCCTAAATTTTGCCTTCAACATTTGCCATATATAAAACCTATTTGTATAAAATAAAGAAGGAAACGAAAAAGTTTACAACATTTTAATAATATAAACTTAATTTAAGCTAATCAAAATTGAAAATTTGTCAACTTTTGCAGACACACACAAGCACACACACACACACACTCACGCACAGCAATTGGCTTATATACTATATCTACTTGTAAACTGTATTTGCACAATTTCTCTCTGAATTGCTATTCCGTTGCTTAGGCCGCTTTGCCAGGGCCCACTGTAAGCGAAAGAGAGCCCAATTCACGCATATGCCAGACAAAGACAATAACAACAATTGCGCTTTCAGCAAGTAACTTAACTTAACCACCCCTCCCCCTTCCCACCACAAGCATTTCAAGTGCAATTTTGCATACATAAGAAATGACTTCGACATAAATATCTATCAATTATTCTTCGTGTTGCTGCTTCTTCTTCTTCTGCTTCTACACATCATCGTGGTCTGCTTCTTCTTCTTCTGCTTCTGCTTCTGCTTCTACTTCTACTTGAGCGACTTCTCCTGCTTTAGGCGTTTCACATTTTTGGGCTTTTTCTCATTTTACTTTTTTTGGAATGCTTGAAAAATGAAACAAAATCTAAGCGTACGAGTGAAAGAGAAAGAGAGAGAGAGCGTTAGATACACAGAGTGAGAAAGACAGAGAGAAAGAGAGATGGAGATGCAAAAGTGTGAAGGAGAGAAAGAGACAGAGAACAGTTGAGAAGAAAGAGCACATGAAAGAACTTGCTAAACAAAATATTCAATTTCAATTAAAATTAAAATCAAAACTTTTAAATAAAAAAAGCCAAAGCCATTTAATTTCGTTAAACTAATAACAAAAAAAAATGCATAAAAAATATATAAATAACTTTAAAAAAAAAAAACAACTTTTTATTTCTATTTTTATAAATATATATATAATATATTTTTTATATATATTTATATATATATATATATAATTTTCCATACGCTTAAAAAACTCACTGCATTAAAAAAAACACTAGTAAAAACCTTTGCAAAAATATATAAATATATATATATATAAATATATATATAATTCAATTTCGTAGCAAAACATTTGTTCACTAAAAATATAAAAAAAAAAATTGTTTTTACCATTTGCATTTAGCTTAAAGCGTTCTTTTTATGCCGTTTGCATTTTCTAGTTAACTTTTCTTGTTTTTCGTTTTTTTCTATAATTTTTGTTAACACGTAAAGCTTACTAAAAACAAGAGCCAAAAAGAAACCAGATTCGATATTTATAAATCAAATTTATTCAAATTAAAAACAAAACAAAAAAAAAATGAAAAAAAAAGCAAAAGAAAATTTTTTTTGGCCTTTGGCTTTTTGGCAAAATGCAAAATGCGAAATGCGCTTTTCTCATAATTTGTTTTCTCTTCTTCTCTTCTCTTCTCTGTTCTGTGCGCTGTCCGTAAACGTCGTCGCGTTCCTTTGCCCAGATGTTGCAGCTGTTGAGGCAGCAACTGTTGCAGCTGCCACAGCGGCAATCACTGCTGCTGCTGCAGCAAGCACAGCAGCAGCAGCTGGCGATAATGTCTGCTACTACGACGCCCTGGCCGAGCACGAGGCCGACGAGGAGGAGTCGAGCACAGCAATGCTGGCGATGCAGGAGTTGCCACACAGTGCTGCAGCCATCTCGGCATTGGCCAGCGTCTTGCCCAACATTTGCAGCTACGAGCTAAATGCCAAAGTGGCAACGCCAGCAGCAGCCGCACCATCTGCCGCGCCGCGCATCGAGAAAATTGTAAATCCCTTGGGCACCGTCACGGACGTGCATGCCGGCATCAGCGGCGAGCTGCAAACGGATATGCTGGACGAGGTTGTCGGCCAGCTGGCTGCCGAGGACTGTGTCATCCATGAGAACTGCGACGAGGCGTTCTTCCGACCCGTTGTGGCCATATTCTGCGACGAGCTGGCCGAGCAGCGGCGTCACGAAGAGCAGCTGCAGCGCGAGCAGCTGGAGCTGCAGACGGGCCGGAGCGCCGGGCAGGGCATGGGACAGGGACAGCCGCCGGTGGTGTTGGCCAACAAGCTGATTGTGCCCGTGATAGCCAAGGAAATGGATGAGGTTATCACGCAGAAGGAGAAGCAGCAGAAATCATTGAAATCTCAGGCGGCGGCCGAGGATGCGGCGCAGGCTCAGCGTTTCGCTGAGCTCTCCCATCTCAATAAGCCAGCCAAGGGCAACAACAACAACAATAACAAAGCGACAACAACTGCCAAAGCAACAGCAATAACAACAGCAACAACAACAACAACAACAACTGCCATCAGCGAGGATGAGCAGCAGCTCGAGGACGAGCTGCAGACATCGATTAGCTCGACGCTGTCCCTAAAAACCAATCAACCAAGCAACAAAAAGTCCAAAGTGGCCAAGCACAAGGCTAACAAAGCAGCAGCACAACAACAACAGCAACAACAACAACAACAACAGAGCAACAAGAAAGACAAAAAGCAGGCCGAGCAGGAGGCAGAGCGCAGGCAGCAGGAGAAGGCGGAGAAGGAGGCGCAGGAGGCAGAGCTGAAGCGACAGACGCAGCTTAAGGCAGAGCAGGAGCTAAAGGCGAAGCAAGCCAAGGAACAGAAACAGAAACAGGAACGGGAACTGGAACGGGAGCAGCAGGCAACAAGCGACCAGGAGGAAACGGAACAGGAATTGGACTATGCAGACGGGCTGCTGGCCAAGCGAGCAGCGATAGCAGCCGTAATGCTGAGCAGTGCCAGTGCACAAGGACTCAATCTGCATGTGGAAACGGAGCAGGAGCTGGAGCAGCACGAGGAAGAGGAAGCGGAAGCGGCAGAGTCGAAGCCCGAGCAAACAGAGCAAGCGAAGCTGGTCAAGGGCAAAGGAGCCAAGAGCAAGGACAAGGACAAGGACAAGGACACCGTGAGCTACCAGGTGAAGGTGCTGGAGCTAATGCCGGAGTCAAGCGGCGCCTGGAAAACGCACGACAAACAACAAACACAAGCAACAGCAGCAGCAGCAACAACAACGACGACGACGACGCCGCCGATAACGGCATCAGCAGCGGATTTACCCAGCCTCAATGCCAAGCGGCAGGGCGAGAAGCTGCTGCCAGGCCTGTTGACGCCGCTGCAGGAGCCGCCGAGTCACTTTGATGACTTTTTGCTGGAAACGTTGCCGCCGCTGCCGGCACTGGCGCCGCTGCAGGTGCTCGACGACGACGAGGCAGACGCTGCCAAAGCAGCCTCAGCCGCCACTGCTGAGAGCCTCATCAACTTTGAGAGTCCGCTGCAGGAGAGTGCTGGGGCAATGCCGCGCAAGATAACGCCGCCGCCGCGCGGCTTCACCGAACAGAATCTGATACTGGCGCTGTGCGGCTCGCTGCACTATGAGAACGAGTACGCGCAGCTGCAGCTGCTGGCGGGCCAGGAGCAGGCGGCCAGTGCGATGCACAAGTCCGTCTGCAGCACGAACAGTTCGTCTGGCTCCGAGGAGCTGCTGCTCATGGAGGAGCCCAAAAAGCTGAGCAAGAAGCACAAGCGCGCCAAGCAGCAGCAGCAGCAGCAGCAATCGGCAGCGGCAGCAGCAGCAGCAGATGATGAGGAACTGCGTCCATTGATCAGCATCAGCATGTGTGAATCGCAGCAGCAGCAGCAGTTGCTCAATGCTGAGGCTGATGCTGACGATGATGAGGATGATGCTGATGCTGATGATGTTGATGATGATGATGTTGACGCTGATGCTGATGCTGATATTGATGTTGCCACACTGCCGGAAGACTTGCTACACTTTGGCAGCAGCGCTACGGCGCCGCACTCCGGCACCACCACGGACAGCGAAGGTCCTGTGCCGACGACCACATCCGATGATAATATCATCTATGCCAGCAACCTGACCACGTCGTCGCATGCCAAGCTGAAGACCAAGAAGCTGGAGCATAAAATCAATTTGATAGCGGCTATTGAGGCGGCCACGTCTTCGTCCACATCGTCGGCGGAGGAGAGCAGCGCGGAGACGGCGGCAACAGCAACGGCAACAACAACGGCAGCCGCTGCGGCGGGTGGTGGTGCAACTGTTGCAACAACGGCTGCAGCAACAACTGTTGCAACGGCAGCGGCGAGCGATGCTGCTGCTGCTGCTGGTACAACGCAACATTTGGCCGCACTGGCAACGCCAGCGGCTGCAGCTAGTGTCGGCAGCACAGCGTTGGGATTGGGCGTGGCGCAGCTCACAGGCCAGCCGAGTGCCACAAAGAAGAAGACGAAACGTCGCAAGAGATAAGAATTAGCAATATGTTTGTTGTGCGTGTTCAGTTTCGTGGTGCTCTGGCATCTATATGCCAATCCGGCAACGCCACAGATGGCCGGACAACAGCCGCAGTCGCAGTTGCAGTCGACGCAACACCAACCGCAGCAGCAGCAGCAGCAACAAGAACAACAGCAGCAGGCGCAGCAGCTGATGTCGCTGCCGGCAGAGCAACAAACGCTGCTGCCGCGCAGTGTCAAATAGCGCAACAAACATTCGCGTTACACACACACACACACACACACAAACACACGCTCCTTGCACTTATGCCCACCCCAAGCCCAACCTTCATAGAGCCTAAGTAAATAGCAAAAACCGCACACAACTCCCTCTCTCTCTCTCTCTCTCTATCTCTCTACTACTACATACTCACATGCATACATACATATGTTTATGTAGCCCAATTTCTAAGTGTGCAAAAATTCTACAAAAAAAAAAATTATATAAAAAACTAAAACTACACAAAAAAAAAACTATGTGATTATTGACAACAAAAAAAACGCGTTTGTAGCAATTTGTTTAAATTTACAAAAACAAACAAAGAAAACCGACAAAAAAATGTATGCTAACCATTTTTAAGTGCAAAAGTTATATTATTAGCTATTAAAAAAAAACTCAACATATATATAAATATATATATACACCTATTCATAAACAAATAAATATGTAAGAGAATTATGCAAAACGAAAAAAAAATCAAAAAAAAATTCAAAAAGCTCTAATTTTAATGATGTACATACATACAAAAACAAAATATTTGGCAAGAGAATTACAATTTGTATAAAAAAACCGTTTGCTCACACACACACAAACACATTTAACTGCTAGCAACCCTGCTTAAGATACTGTATGCAAAAAAAAGAAAAAGAAAAAACTACAACAACACTGTCCAATGCCACAATCTATGTAAATGCTCTGTGCGAACTCAACTACTTTTGTAGACTTGATCCTAGCGAGCTACGCAGTTGTGCTCTCTCTTCATCGCACTTGAGCGGAAAGAAAGCTGCGCTGCCTTGCTCTCTTCTAAGCGCTGCGCTGCTCTCTTCACTGCAATTGAGCGCAATAAAAGCTACGCTGTAGACGCTGCGAGTGTTTCACTGCAGCTGTGTACAGAGCATAAGTTCTGCTTTCGTTAAGTTTCTATAACGCCAGCCAACAACAACAGCAACAACACACAAAACTGCAACAAAAACTCCTCCCAAACAAAAAGCTCTCAAAACAACTAAACAAAAACAAAACTCAACTCGTTTTTTTGGCGCTTTGCTTAAATTATAAATATATATTTTCTTAATATTATTTTTTTTATATATATATTTCTTCTGTTTATTTATTTCAATTGCAAAGGAAAAAATCTAACTTAAACTTTTTTTATTTTAGTATTTTTCTAATAAGTTTTTCTGATTTTCAATTGTTAAGATCATTTTGGCAAAGCTTTTGAAATAATGTAAAAAACAAGCAAATTTAAAAGGACAACAACAAAAACAAAAATAGTTTTCTGTATATATAACTTGCAGTATTTATGATTTTTTAACTGATGGGAAAAAAGCAAAAAAAAAAAAAACATTAAGGAAAACGAAAACAAAAAAGCAACTAAAAATTAATTAAATTAAATATGTATAATTAAATAAATGCAATTTTAGTTAAAACTACCATAAAAAGGAACGTTTTTCTGTGTGCGTGTATGTGAAAATATCTATAGGAAGTCTCTCGGAATACCCTGTAATCGGATAGTATGACTATATCATATAGAACTCAAGTAATATCCATATCTCTAGTAAAGAAATTAAGCAGAGAGAAGTGAGACCGGCTTAATGTATATCATAGACTCCGAGGATGCCAAATATATGTCTCTAGTCTCCTTGTATAGCAAAGTTTCGCCCAACAGACCCATTGAACTCAGTCGCTAGTAAAGCTAAAGAGCTGAAATTTGGTATGTGGCCACAATTATGTTGCAACTATCAAATTGTAACAACAAATTGCGCATAAACTAAGTAATTTACACAATAATTAATAATATTTTACAACAATTTAATATATTATTTACATATTATTTTCTCTACGCAGGCAACTTCTTTGGCATTGATCAAATGGATGGACTGGCAAACAACAACAACAGCAGCAACAATAACAACACCATTTTAACAACAACAACTCGTATAAGCGTCAACAAATTGTTGACAAAGCCCAATCGTCTGAGCGGCAATCCGAATGCTAATACAAATACCGCACTGCACAGGGAACCAGATCCGCTACCGGAACCGGAACCGGAACCAATGAGCATAACACCGCCACCGCCAACAATAACTACAACAACTTCAGCAGCAGCAGCAGCAGGAGCAACTGTTGCAGCTGCAGCAGCAGCAACTGTTGCTGGCTGCAACTTGTTGGCGACAAAGCCGCAGCTGAACACCGCCGCTGTGGGCATCGACGGCGAGCTGGCGACAGTGGTGAACATCGATGTGTTCGACGATCAGCTCAGCCTGAGCAGCATCAGCACCAACAGTCGTCTCTCGATGGAAGGACCGCCGTCGCAGTCGTCGCCGCCGCTGAGCCTTAGCAACGGCCTCATGATGGAGACGAATCTGATGCATTTCAGTGAGAGTGCGGCGCCCGTAACAGTGGATGGTCCCAGTTCCGGTTCCAACTGTGAACCAGTCTGCGGCACTGATGGCATGCCAAATTTGTGAGAGTTAATCCAAAGGCCATCGGCGACGCGTCTCATGCGGCACGCCACGCTGATCGGTGACAATTTCAACTTGCGGCGCATCTGCACGCAGTTGTTCAAGCAATCGACAACAGATGGCGCCAATGCAGCTCCGACCAGCGAGAAACCTTCTTAATTCCCAAAAAAACCAACAACAACAAAGCAACAACAACAGCAACAATCAGCCCTAGCTCGGTGCTTGTTTTATCATTTTATTATTTTAAGTATCAAATGGGACGAGGCTGGAATCACTTAAGCCACGGATTAATCACAAGCTCACAAGCCAATCCTTAACTAAGCTGGCAAGCACCTGCAAGCTGTCATCAGCCATTGAATTCCAGTACAGCCCAAAGCTTGAAGCTTCTGCAATTTAAAAGCTCAGCTAGCACCTAACAACAACTTGTGCAAGCTTTCGATATATATATAAACTCTGCAAAGCTCCGCTGCCACTTCAGCAGCAAAGCTTTCGGCTAGTCGACAAGTGAAGACTCTTAAGCTATGTGCGAAAGCTGTCAGTCTAAGCCTAAGAACTAAAGTTTTTATATGAAAAACTTGTCAACTATTTGAAGGCATCTTGAAGCTTTTACCTAAACACTGAGAATTCCTTTTAGTTCAACATTTTCAACCCAGTGATCTAAGCTTGCAACCGCTCCGAAAGCGCACTGAAAGCTTCAGAGTTGCTCGCTGTGCAGATTTGATTAATCCTGGGATTAAGCGGCAATTCGCAGCTCGTCTCATTGTCATGAATGAATCGCATTAGTTCAATTAGTTCAGTTCAATTGGTTCCATCGATATTATTATAATATTAAAACATTTTTGTTTTTTTTTTTCGTCATTCTATCAATAATTGTTGATAAAACGCATAGCAAAAAGCCATAAAGAAAATTAAGAAAAAAGCGAAGCACATCTAAAACAATACATAGATCAGATCAGACCTCAGCTGAATGCCGTGATATTTAAACTAAAATCTAAACGAGAAATAAATATAAAAAAATAAATAAAAATAAAATAATAAATAATAAATGAAGAAAACACAAAACACAAAAGGGAAGAAGCTAAGAAAATACTAAAATACTAAATATATATATATATAAATATAAGAAATATATGTCTATATACTATCTATATATATATATATATATATATATATATATATATATATATATATATATATATATATATATATATATATATATATATATATATATATATATATATATATATATATATTATAAATTTACTATATGAATTATTTCTCAATAATTTTCCTTTTTTTCATTTCAATTTTTTTAGCTTCTTTGTTTGTAAGAATAAAACATAAATTTTTTTATAAATTTCATATTTCTATAAATACCAAAAAAAAAAATTATAAAAAAAATTTTTTAAATCAAATGTTTTTTTTAAACAAACTAAAAATTCCATTCCGATTCAAAATAAATTGCGATTGAAACATATCCATATACAAAAACAAAAAAAAAAAAAAAAATATATATATATATATATATATATATATATATATATATATATATATATATATATATATTTATATATATATATATATATCATACTGAATGCAAATCCACAGAGAACAGCTCCATTATATATCCATTAAACCACTTAAAGTAAGCAAAAAATAAACACAAAAAAAATAAATAATAATAAAAAATCAGTTCAAATATTCAACTAAAAACTATATGAACATACAGACATATATAGACATACACAACTGTTTTTTTTTTTTTGTCTTGCTGATCAACCAAGAAAATCAAAAGGAGGAGAAGGAAGAAGCAGATATATATATACATATATATAGAGCTCTGTTCATAAAAATAGTAGAGCAACTGAGTCTCAAAACAAAACTTAGCGATAATCAATATTTGAAAACAATTTGAAATGAATATTCAAATTAACATATATTATTTTTAATTTAGATATTTTTTTTGGTTGCAAAAATTCTATACAAAAACGGAGCTTTCTTTTCATTGTTTGTTTTGTGCGGTGCAGCACTACTATTTTTATGAACACCAGATATACATCTATATAGTTCTATATATGCAACAACTGCTGGGCAGGAACTTAAGAGAGAGAGAGAGAGAGGGAGGAAGAGAGGAATAAAGATATTTAGAAATAATTTTAGTTATATTCTTTACATTCTTGCTATTCGATCTGTATATATATAGATATATATATAGATTTTCGGTGCTCCACTGACTGAACTTTCGATCAGTAGTACTATTTACTTTATTATCTGGCAATAGAGCACCTACCACATATAAATATATATATATATATATATATATGTATGTGTATATATAAAATTGGTAAAAGCGCTCGGAACTTCCAATGCGTGCATTTCATAAAACAATACATATATATATATATATATATATATATATATATATATATATATATATATATATATATTCAAATTTTATGTTTATGTCGAATTTCTCTAAAACAAAAACCATTCTATATAAAAAACACTTGGGAAAACTTATATATATTATATAAAAAAAAAATAAATAAAAATAAAAAATAAATAAAAAAAAAACAAAATGTATTTTTCTTATGTAAGCCTAACAGAATGAAAAAAATGATTAGGATCGATAAATATTGATCGATTAGTGACCCATAACATACTATATGTAGATTATATATGACATACATATGTGTATATACTTAGAGCAGCTCACCACTGATGGACTAAAAGCCCGTAAAAATTGATACATTCATACATACATACATTCATATATTCACACATTCATACGCATACCTACTGCACTGAAAGTAATAATATTTATGCCAGCACTGTAAATGTCAAATAAGCTCCTCTATTTTATTCAGTCTTAAGTTGTCTCCACTAAGCATGCCCACTAATGCTGCGCCGTTAGTGTAAAGACATCGAGCTTTGTTGCTGCGCCTTGACAGCGCGACAAAGCTCGCCCCAGTCTAGCCCAAAGTAAACGATACAGTCGTGGCCATAATATATGGCACAGTGCATATTCGATCAGTTCGCTCAGTTAGACGAAAATGGAAAGTTCCCCTGGAGTATCGAATCCATGTTCGTTGTTGTTGCTGTTATTGTATCGTGTCACATGTCGAGTCAGGGCTAAGTTGTACCCACTGCACACCCAGCCAGGTAGCGCCTCAAGCACTGCAAATCGACTCTTATCAAATGTTATAGGTTTTCGTTCTGTTTTTTCTAATCAGTTTCCGTTTTTTATAGCTCACCTTATGGCTGGGTACTTTGCCATGAAAAGCTCATGTGATTAGGCAACACTTAGCCCCACTACAAGGCGCCCCAACCCGGCCACCACGCCTCCCCTCCTCCTGCCCGCCGTACCCCATATCTTATCGACTCCTGCGATTAGATGGCCAATGCCAATTATGATGGCCACTGGTCACACACTTCCCAGTAATACATAGATTTCCTATCATATCATTTTCGCCTATTTTAGCGTCTACGTAATCCCCATGTTGACTTTTCGGTACTTCTCGTTCGCCTGAACCCGTTTTACTTAAATTTCATTAGATTATTTTAAGTCAGCCTTTTATATGCAGAAAACTTTTGGATGTAGCTAGAGTTACATATAGACATTGAAAAAAAAATTAATAAAAATTAAATTTATCATAAAAATATATAAATAAATAAAAATATATGAAAAAGATAAACATATAGGAAAAATATTAACACAAATTATAAGAAAAAAATAATATTTGAATTTAAAAATAAAAATAGCATTTCCTATTTTTATTTTTTAATTGTAAACCAAATATTTAAATATATACAAAATATTAAAATTAAAAATTAATATTTTAATTTTAAAAACAAATAATAGCAATACTATTAAAAAATATATATAAAAAACTAAAAATAATATTTAAAAATATTTTAAAAATATTATTGAAAATTTACAAAAGGTTAATATATTTTTTGTATATGAATAAACTAATTTTTCATAATATTTTTTTTTATAAAAAAATAAACATAAAATATCTTTTAAAAAACGTTGAACTAAGTTATAGATATAAAAGCTAAAGGATATAGATTGATTGAGATTATGTATGATAAAATACTATGCATAGAAATTTATATATATGTATATAGAGCTTTCAATATTAAATATGTATGAATTTGCTTTTATAAAGTCTCAGGCCCTATAGATATGCTTGAAAGCATGATCTCATGTTTCGATTTATTTTTTCTTATCAATTTTTGAATATGTTTTTTCTTTTTCTCAGTTTTGTTGCTCAAGCAGAAACAGCCAAACAACTGCCAAATAAAACACATACATACATACATACGTACATCAAAGTACCTATATATATATATGTATGCATGTCTGTATGTCTGACTGCCAGCCAGGGTTCGTTTATCTAGCCTTATCAAATTATGGCCAGATATTTGCTCCGGCAACTACGTGGGTAAAAAAAAAGAAGAAAACTTTTGCGTCAATAATGCGTTTCCATTTAGTTTTTTTTTTATATTGTTTTTTTATCACGCAACATAAACAAATAAAAGAGTACTTATATATACACATATTTATAAACATTTATGTATAATAAATCATTTCTGTTGAAAGGCAAACATAAAAAATAATTTTAAGTTGATTTTTCTTATGTTCTTTTTTTCATTAGACATTTACATCGCACATAGCTCGCTATCTCTTTCGCTCCAGCTAATTAGCTTGTCGTATTCATATGTTTGGCTGTTATCGTTATCGCGCTAATCGATAGTTATCGCTGCGAGGACAACGAGTGCTTGAAATTGGAAAATTGAACTTGAATCAAGCATGAAAATTGCCTCAAATTAGTTTTTCTCGACTTTATTGAAGCACCTGTTGGCTTGGCATGGTTTTTTTTATTTGTTTCAGATTTTTTATTTTTATTTTATTTGTTCTAGCTTGAAGAAAGACTAAATAATTCTATGGCTATCTGTCTCCCTCGCACCTGCACTGTATTGCACTCTCTCAGTCCCTGCCCCACCCTTTCTCAGACTCAAAGACGAAATCAATCGATTCAAATCAAATTGTATCTATTGCTTAAGCTAAATGACATAATTAAAAAGCGCTCTACATATACACACATGCATACACATACACACATACATATAATACGCTCTCTGGCAGCGGCAAAGGAGCAGACTGTAGAAATTGCTTACCACTTGATAACCTTCACAATTCGCATGCTTAAGACCAATGACAATGACATGCATACAAAGACACATACACACACAAATACACACACTCACACAGACACACACCACATTTATAGAGACGGCCGGCAAATGTCAGCGCAATGGCGCAAAGGGCATAGCAAACACATGTGAAAAATTGCACGTGCAGCGCAGTGCAAAAGCAAAATGGTGAGAGCGAGCGCAGGCGTAAGCAACGCTCAAAATAACAAAAAAATATCCCTTTTTTTGTTTGTCATCCATTTCCCCTATCACCAAAAATTGCCCCTATTTGGGCACAAAATTTGCGGCGAATTTCAGGCTGGCCAACCCCACTTAGCCATTACACGAGAGAGCGGCTGTCAAAAGGCAGCGTTACATAGACGACAGAGAGAGAGACAGTGAGTGAGAGAGAGTGAAAGGGATAGATAGGTAGAGAGAGTGCGCATGCGCTTAAATGGGATGCTAAAAACACTTACTGAAACTGACAGCTGCATTTTATGCTAACTGTAAAGAGATAGAGAGAGAAAGACAGAGATATGCTAAGCATCTGTATACACATACACACGCAGCTGGGTTGCAATACCGTTAAAGTTAGCGGCATTGTTAGTGTAACTTTTAGTTTGTTTTTTTTTTCTGCATTCGTTTTATTTTGACTTTTTTGTGATGTGAAAAATGGTTCATGCCCTTTTTTAGACACAACGCAAATGGTTTTCACTTTTAATGTAGCGTTAGATGAACAGATGGGGCCAGAGTGAGAGGTAGAAAGGCGGCGGGGGCTAGACTAGAGCGAGGCAAAG